ATTAGTTGCATTGAGAGGAAATTTATACAAAAAAAAGGTATACTGACACATGGTGTTTTAGTTCAATAACACTCCATTATGGTAACAAGATGTCAATATAACGGTAAACTCATTTGATATAATCCATTTCCTAACAAAAATATATCAAACACCACAAGAAAACGGGGCTAGTTGGATAATGTTTAGGGAGATTATATTCACAAACCTCAAATTACTTCTCCCACATCCTTTTAATTTTTTAATATTTTTTTATCAAGTGTTAGTGGTGTGTAGAAAATATTAAAAAAAATAAAAAAAATATGAAAGAAGTAATTTGGAGTGTATGAATATAATCTTTCTAATGTTTATTGTAAAGCCCAAAAATTATCAATGGATCATTAGAATTAACGGGCCTTTGCAACTTGTTATTATTCATACCCAAATCTTCATGATAACTAATTGAGAAAAGGAAAACAGAGGGAAATTTTTTTTAACATCAATTTCCGACTGCAAACATAATTTTTTTTAAGTATCAATTTTTAATATAAAAACTAATACCTCCTCGACTTCATTCTCAGTGCATTCGTATTTTGAATGTACAACATAATTTTTGCAACAGTTACAGAATATGCTTATAATCCAACACGACATATAGGGTTTCTCTCGATGAGACCAAGCTTGCCTTGCAAAAATAAGAGAACAGGATATGAAATGAAAATTTTAAGAAAAAGATTCAGAGAAGGAAGAAAAAAAGGAAATTTTTTTAAATCAATTTTCGACTACAAACATGAAACAATATCAATTCACTTTATTGAGCATAAAACTATGACAGCATCAAAGTGCCAGTCGTTGTCTTACCCCGACGTGAGAAGAATTCTTCAAGTTCTCCTAACAAGTCACCAAGACCAAGCCCTCGATCACATACCAAACCTGAACCCACAAGCCGGAATTCAGAACACACCATCCAAATTCTGGTGGAACATCAGCGATTTCTAGACCAGAAATATATAAATAAACTGATTACTACGTGCCTTCTATCTGGTGGAACTCTGCAAGAGGAGTTCGATATGGTGCTTCATTTCTGATCACACGATCCAAAGAGTAGTATTTTGGGGAGCAAATGGTAGTTTCTTTGAACAATGCAAAAGAAACAAAAACGACTACAAATTAGGGTTTAAAAAACGCTTGAAGTGCTTTCTACAAGAAGCACTAGTTATGTGCTTATTCCAAGTGCTTTTTTTTCAGAATTTACTTGCATTTTTCTAATGATTGTTTCTAAAAATATTTTCACCAAAAGCGCTTTCAGTTATTTTAAAAGTACATACAAGCGAGCTCTATGAAAGTTTCATCATTACTGGAATGGGTCGAGTTTTTATAGTTTACTTATTTTCAACACAACTTAATCTTGTGTAAGTTTCTTTGTAATCAACTCTGCCTAAATTCACCCTTAATTTTTGCTTAAATTGCGTTCGCCACAATATATATATATATATATATATATATATATATATATATAATTATCATCACATTTTGTGATTAGGACTGTAAAAATAAATAAAACAAGTGCCATTACAAGTTTTTACTAATTGTTCATGCAAGAGTTGTAAAGCCAACACAGAGTCAATCAATAGCACTAGCACAGACATTCAATATCTCTATTGTATCAACATAACATGCATGCATCAAAAGCCACGAACATTTACCTGCAGGCATGGTCATCCTTACTGGAAAGTCGACGCAGTCTTCTACTTCCAACACCCTTTATGAACTCTACTCGGAGAATAGGTTTGTAGTTTTTGAGATTCGAATGGTGAGGAAGCAGGGACTACAGAATTGACAGATGTATAGCTAGGGCTTCGATCAAATCCATCCTATTATTGGATAAAATCTCAACCCAATCTCTATTACCTAATTAGAGTCCCATCATGATTCTGTATCTGTGCATTTACTTCATAAAGACCTTAATAGGTTGCAAAAAAATAGGACTCCAAAATATTTATTTCATTAAGGCATCGGGAATTCTTGTAAGTCAAGTAACTTCTAACTTGCAAACCAAGTTAACTAGACTTTCAAGCTTTCTCGACATCATCCATTGTCATTCATATTAGGACCACTTGCATATATTGGCGATCACTAGCTAAGTCCGCTAAAGTATGCAACCATTCCTTCTAGTAACTTGTCACTCTAAAACCAAGTGTAGAACCATGGTAAACAAAATGCAGATTAGGCTGCATTCCCACTCCATGATTACACGCACAGTTAGTTTAAAAGTACAAAATGAACTGTCAAAACAACTTTCAATTATTAAGATAAAATGCATAAATCAAGTATATAAGTTCAAATAGCTAAGAAAATAAATATTAACTTTTAACTTAATTTTGTTAATCGAGTGCTTACTCCCACTCATTAATTGAAGTAACTTAAAGCCTCTCTCCGTCCCCATTATTAGCAACAATGGTGGACAGTGAGTCACCATTTTTTATTCCAGACTGTACTAACGACAAATATTTGATTCCAGTAGGTCGCCATTTTTAATATATTCGGCTGAGTTTGGAGAATTCTAAAAAAACCTTCCAATAAATATCTTACTTATTCTCTTAGACCTACTCCAACTCTTGGAGTAAAACTCAAATTTTAGGTTCTAAACCTACCCCAATCTGCCCTAACTCATTTCTTGGGACAAATTTAGGCCAAAGGTCCCCTTGGGTTAGCAGGCCGGTCCACCATATACGTGTATTTTTTTTAGTTTTATATTTTGAAATTCATTGAATTCAACTGTTAAGATTTAATATGATCCAATTTAACTGTAGGAAAAAAAAATATAACGATTAAAATCTAAATCCAACGGTTACAATAATTAAAAAAAATTATTTATGTGTTTCATATTCCATGAGTTTCATGGTATCAGTTTAGTGATTTTTCAATATTTATCGGAATCTAAATATTTTTAGGTTAAAATATTCATAAATTAAATTAGGATAGTCTACATAATTTTTTTTAAAAGTGTTATTTTCAGAAGAAAAAAATCAATTATTCATTCTTTAATAATCTTGGGTTAAAAATTTAGCCCATAGTGGTTTGAGTAGAAAAATTGTTTCTGAGTGAAAACCTAAATTTATGAGTTAAAAATTTTAGGTTTAAACTTAAGGGTTGGAGCCACATAGTACTATGGTCTAGTGATATTCCTCTTCACTCGTAAGTAAGACGTCTTAGGTTCGATTATTGCCAAAGGCGAATTTGAACCACATTATTGCTAGCTCATTGTGAGGGTTAGCCTATCCCCCCTCCTTAGTGTAAATAATATCGTTTGTTCAAAAAAAAAAAAAAAAAAAACTCAAAGGTTGGAGATGATCTTAGAAAAATTCTTATAATTGAATATAGATCGAACAATTTGTTTGTACAATTCCAGGTCAAGAAAACGCATTCAGAGATGATGGAGGGATTCTATCAATTTTGTATTTTCTTATGTTTAATGTAATTTTTTATTTGGTATTCTTTTTCTTATTTATTTATAAAGTATATTATTTTGTTAAGTAATTAATTATAAGGATAATTTTGTTCTTTTGTAGACAAATTTTCAACCAACGATGTATTTTGAAAGTTAATTAAAACTTTAAGCGATGTCCAACTCTTGGAGTAAAATTCAAATTTTAGGTTCTAAACCTACCCCAACCTGCCCTAACTCATTTCTTGGGACAAATTTAGGCCAAAAGTCCCCTTGGATTAGTGCTTTAATTAGCGGGCCGGTCCACCATATACGTGTATTTTTTTTAATTTTATATTTTGAAATTCATTGAATCCAATGGTTAAGATTTAATATGATCAAATTTAACGGTCGAAAAAAAATCTAACAGTCCACATCTAAATCCAATGGATACAATAATTAAAAAAATCATTCATGTGTTTCATATTCCACGAGTTTCATGGTATCAGTTTAGTGATTTTTCAATATTTATCGGAATCTAAATATTTTTAAATTAAAATATTCATAAAATTAAATTAGGATAGTCTACATAATTTTTTTTAAAAGTGTTATTTTAAGAAAAAAAAATTATCATATATTCATTTTTTAATAATCTCGGGCTAAAAATTTAGCTCATAATTGTTTGAAAAGGTACATCGCTCTTTCAACTACATGATCAAACCCCTTTCACTAAAAGTCTCAGCCATCCAACGGTCATGACTGTGGTCCTGTCTAACCAACGGATGGAAACGCTCGGTTGTATCCGCAACATAGCATTACTAAGTCATTTAACATTTTCGCGTAGCCAACGGGCATATTGGTGGAAAACACGTCAACCGAAACCCTAATAGCCAATACCACAAAAAAGAAAAAGAAAAACTTTGTAACAATTAGACTAAGAAAAAAGGAAAATACAAAAACAAAACATGTTGCCAATGTGACGGTCCGCAACGGTACACAACATCAACATCAAGCCTATTACCAAAATTGGAAAGAAAATACCAAAACGGGTGGTGGTCCCCAGTAAAAGTTATTTGAAAAAGAAGGCATGCGGGCCCAAAAACTTGTAGGGCATATCTGGAAGGAGAGTATAGAGGCATATCTCAAATAACGAAGGCATGCGGGCCCAAAAACTAGTAGGGCATATTTGGAAGGAGAGTATAGAGGCATATCTGGAAGGAGGGCATAGAGGCATCCGCGAGTGAGGGCGAGTGGGGATATTGGATCGTTATTTCTTGCAGTGTTTGATATGTCTTTGTTAGAAAAATGGACTATATGAAACATGATTATCATTATATTGACGTCTTACAACAATATACAAAGTTATTGCATCAAGACTCCATATGATTTTATATAATTGGATCTCAATGTAGTTATGTTCCTTTTATGAATGATTAATTGTAGTGATTGTATTAAATAAACATAATCACATGATTTATATATGTATTAAGTGCATATAAGTAAGAGAAGTAAACAATTTTCATAAAAAATAAAAATACAAAAAGCAAATCTTTCCAACTGAAAAAAGGGAAACAAAACAAAATTTAATTAAACTAACCTAACAAAGATTGGGCACAAACCATAAAGGTGCAGTATGCAACTGGGACGAAGAACGACTCTTGGAGCAACTAAAATGCCTGATACTCTTATTTGTCAAGGAAAATACTCCAAAGTCACATTCGACTGATTCGTAACACGGGTAATCAAAGGCAAAATAAATACTGTTTCTTTCAACCTTCTGACCATGGGGGTACGACATAACGGCGGAATGGTGGTTGCTCACAAATAATACCCGATCACCAAGTTCAACAACCTCCATCCATTGTGGACCACCATCAATATCACACTCCAGTTTGAACACTCGAAATCCTTTAGTCTTAGGTGGCTCAGTGTAACGAAAGGTCTTTGCAAGCATGACCTCATGCAAAGATAGTAAACACGTGTCTTGTTTAGGCTTGTATGCATAGTCTGCCTTATGAAAAACCATAAACAACTCCATAGATGCAGAATCTTTTGCTAGATGAACGAACTCACGGCCGTTGTAATGCTCTACTCTTGATCCATTGTAATCAATTTTAACGAAAGGAAGTGGAAAGCAAGGACGTGTGTTGGGATCAAGGGTTATCAACTTAACGACCCTATAGCTAAGAGGACCGCCATTGCCTTTGGTGTCTTCGATCATCTCAAATACCATTAAAAACTTGGACTCTAAGGACGTTGTAGCATATAACTTACCGCCCAGTATAACTATACCATTAACAAAGGGTATTTCCTCATCAATCGAGCTCCATGATTGATCCCTTGGCCTACAATAAGTCAGATGACCCTGTTTGCAAAGACAAACCACAAAACATGGCTCCTGACTGATTGTTTTTGGTTCAGAAGAGGCAATAATTTTAGAAACGGAGAAGTCAGGACCATTGATGCAGTGGCATGGAAGGGTGGACTGCGACGAGGGGAGCATCACTCGATCACCAGATATTGGATTGAAGAAGAAGAATTCTATTTTAAAACTAGGGTTCTGACAATTTTTTAGGTAGAATGACCAAGGTTTCATAAAACCCTCTGGACGCCTCAACGCACTGTCGACCATGATCAACCATCCCTCTATTGAGCCAACACAATCCATCCTATTCATTGTACAATAAAAAATTGTATTTGGCCATGATCGTAGAAATTTATGATCTTTCCAATCACCTGGACTTAAAACGCGATGAGCTCTAGTGGACATGGGATGAGAGCTTAACATAAGCCATGGAACTTGATCCTGAGCAAGGGGACGGCGTGACTGAATATTGCTTTTAATAATTGCTTGCCATGAACGGCATACTGCAGCACATCGAACGTAGTCTGATAAGCCCAGTCGTCGTAGAATCAGTTGCATAACATCTCCCGCGAGTTTATTGGACCAGGGGCTGCTGTCCTCTACTTTCGAGATGATCATCTTCTTCTTCTACATATTATGAAGATGATCATTCTGAACTTCCGGCCAATGAAATCGAGAATCAGCAACACAAACATTCTTGATAGGCGGTAGTATGTTAACGTAGGTGGAAGCATTCTTTCAGGATATGCACGAATAAGTGCCAACGATCCAAAAAACAGTGTAAAAGATTATGCCTTCAACCAAATCCACAATTATAAGCTTGTCACGCCTTTCTCTGCGGCACATAAAAAAAACAGAAAATGGATTGTTAGGAACGGAAAGTGTAAAGCTAGCTTCTTATCTCTCATTTTCATTTCTCATTAATTAAAATTAGGTCTCTATCTCTCATTAATTGAAATTCGAAACCTTTCTCATTTTTCGAATTTATCAAGGTATTTTGACTTTTGTCCATGTCATTATTCTAATATTAAATTATTACATGTCATCGTATGTCAATTTCAAAAAATGAAAAACTTATTAATGATTTCTAGATGTATCTTTTTAGAATTTTTCATATATTTTTGTTTTTATTTTGTACTCATTTTTATTTACACAAAATTGTAATTGTGTGTGTGTGTGTTGAGCAAAAGAAGTGGGATTTGGGAGGAGGGTATATGGAGAGTGAGGTGGGTATACTCAAGGAAGAAAATATCGGTAATATCGGTAGTCTGAAAACACGGAAATATCGATGGAAATATCGGGATAATATCGATATCGATAAAAATTACATGGAAACCACGAATATTGTAAGAAAAACTTGGAAATTTTTATTGAAACTTTGCAGGATGTTTATTTAGCCAATTATCTATTAGTTTATCACAAAAAATTGGAAGGAAATGCATTGCATGATGGATTTAACTGATTTAAGTTGATTATATAGCGAGCTGGCAAACATTGTGAGTGTAGAAAATATGTAATAATTAATGAAAGAAGTTTAAACACACCATAATCATTTATATATAATGAATTAGTACAATATTTTACACTTTGTACATTGCATGGTAAGATACATGAGTGACTTAGTACCACATAGAATTCTTATGAGGTTCAAAATTTTCACTATGTTGAAGGAGTAAAATGGGAGAGGTTCGAATCCCCTTGGTGTTTTTTTTTAAATATAGAAATTTATCATAGATAATAAATATTAGCTTGCAAGCCTTGCAGACATCTTAACGATCATATAAATATTACAGGCTGAATAAGTAATCACAAACACATATGTAATCACAGCTTATTTATACTGTATTCATTCTTTATATAAAAAAAAATAAAAAAAAATAAAAAAAAGAAAATTACCATTTTGTTATATATATTTTCCAGATCCGTATACGTCAAATGTGCGCAGATCAAATCATATCAGATTAGATATTTTGCACACCCCAAGACGTCCACGTACAAGTCAGTAAAAAACCTAAATCACCCACACGGTGACACTAACATTACTCGCACCTATCTGCCCTCTAATTTACGAAAGACCTCGTGTCTTCCCTTCATTTCACATAACATTTTCCCCTCCGAGCCTCCACCTCTCTCTCTCTCTCTAGTCATTTTCCTTCCAACCAAACAGTCCAAAATTTTCCCAGAAAATTCCAAAAAATGGACTCGACGCCAATTAACTGGGAAGCCCTAGACGCTATCGTCATCGATTTCGTCAAATCGGAGAAGCTAATCGAAAACGACGACTCCGCCTTTACGACGTCGCCTTCCCCTTCCTCTTCCTCTTCCCCCTCATCTATCTCCTCATCGTCGTACCACTCGAGATTGATCATTCGTCAGATCAGGCGAACGCAAGAACCCTCGTCTTTCTCCCTCTCCTTCTCGTCTCTGTAACTCGGCGAACACAGGAACCCTCCGGCGAGTTCCTTCAATTTCTCCGGTTAGGTAAGCTTTGGGTTTTTCATTTTATGTTCTAGATCGAAGCTTAGATATGAAATTGAAGTTCTATCTCGTCTTTTTGCAAGGTTTTTGGGATGAAATCGACTCGGGAATAGGCACACCCATCTCCGGCGAGGTCGTGGGTGTCGAAGAACTTTCCGAACACCTCCGGCCATTTCACGGCAAACCGACGTTATAAAAACGTTCGTCTCGTCTTCTATTTCATGTTCATACCTAGATCGGAGTCTAGGGGGTTGTTTTACAGTCGGCCGGAGCTGTAGAAGCTCCGGCGTTCGTCTCCGACTTGCACAGTTCCGATATTTCACGATAATATCGATAATATCGCGATATTATCAATATTATCGCGAAATTTGGACAAAAACCCCTTGGATACCACTTAAAATATCGTCTTGGGCAAAATTCGATAATATCGGCAATATATCGTCGATATTATCGATATTTTCTTCCATGGGTATACTGAGGAGGAAAACATGTGGCCAAGTAACCGGTCCGCAATGGTGCACCGTGCACTACATCAACAAATGAAAGCCTAAAAAATTGGAAAGAAAAAAAAAAAAAAAAAAATACCAAAACTGGTGGTGGGCCCCCAGTAAAAGTTATTTGAAAAGGGAAGGTATGCGGGCCCAAAAACTTGTAGGGCATATCTAGAAGGAGAGTATAAAGGCATATCTGGAAGGAGGGTATAGAGGCATCTGCGAGTGAGGATATTGGATCGTTATTTCTGGCAGTGTTTGATATATCTTTGTTAGGAAAATGGACTATATGAAACAGGATTATCATCGTATTGACGTCTTGCTACAATAATACAAAGTTATCGAATGAATCAAGACTTTACATGACATTAAATTTATTTTATATACTTGGATCTCAATGTAGTTATGTTCCTTTCATGAATGATTAAATGTAGTGATTGTATTAAATACACATAATCACATGATTTATACACATAATCATATTCTTTTTAATTTAATTTGTACCCATATTTCTTTGTATGTTTCATATATTTCTACTTTTAATCTGTACCCTTTTTCAAATTTGGACCAATATTCTTTTTAATTTCAATTTGTACCCATAGATTTAAATTTAATATGTACCCATATTTTTTAATTTGATTTGTACCCATATTATGTTTGCTGAATATGTATACCCATGCTAATTACATGGATTTATTGTATGTTTTACAATATACAAATATTTATTTTTTAAGAAGCTCTCTAGCTATATATATCAAGAAGCAAATTAAGAATTTCTCCAAATGAACATGAATATTGTACACGAATCAATATAATAAATAAAACTGAATTCATTTCCTGGTTCGTAATTCTCAAAGCAACAAATAATGACTTCATCTCTCAATTATTTACACAAAATTGCAGTTGTATATGAATATATACTGAGGAGGAAAATGAGAGTGTAGGTTATGTTATGATGAGGACTCTCTCACGCTTTTTTTCTCTGGTGAGGGTAGGTGTGGTTGGGTCATGGTGTTTAAGTGGGGGTGGGAGGGAAGGGAAGAGGGTGGCTTTCCTGCTGCTTTCTGGTTGCGTGGCACGTTTTGAGGAATTTACCAATTTAGCCTTGTTTTTGGACTGGTGTGGAAGACCAAGCAATGACCAAGTCAACGCAGGCCCAGCACATATCCCCCTCACGGACATGGATCCCCTTCGGACCATTGGTTCTAATTCATCAAATTTTATAATTTGTGAAATTTGATTAAATGGTTAAAAATAAAAGTATATTTTAAAAATTATAATAATTTAACCGTTGAATCAAATTTTAATGATTCGGATTATAGAATTTGGTGGATTAGGATCATTGGATCCGAAGAGGATCCATGTCCCCCCTCAGTACACCCGGCACTGCACCCCAAGCACGACAGCGCTGCAGCGCAGACCCAGCACGGAAGAGAGATACCCATTACCCACTGAAAACCTGCGGATTTTAGCAGCCGCGAGGCGACAGAGAGGCGCCCCACCCGCCACTGTCCTGTGTTGTCAGCTGCACCTCTCGAAACGGGGGGCGCGACACGTGGAGTTGTACGGCGGATCCGTTTCTGGAAATGTGAGAGTATGCGAATGTGGTGTCGTTTGGTGGCAAATGCCAAATGAGAGTTTAAAAGAGCGGGACCCGTCAGTCAGATAATTCTGGAGCACGAAATTTTTGACCTTTTGCTGGGTTTTGGAGTGGGAAGGAAGCAAACAGAGCCCATAGGAGGAACCAATTAATAAGCAACTCCAAAACGAGTTTATCGAAATAATAAATATCATACTATTCTCGTTTGGGATGCAACTGTAACACAAAATTCAGTCTATGAAAATCATGTGTGTCCTTATTTTGTACAACTTTTGGATGTTGGATTGCACAATATAACAATGAAAGGTGGAAAGGCAAAAATGGTGTCGTTCGGATTCGAAGTAAAAAATTGAGATCCGTTTACATACTCGGATTAAGCTTTTGGTTGGATGCTCATTTACTTTGGTCTAGCTCACCCCGCCAGTTTCATAAAACAAGGTTGATGTGTTTCATTTTTGTTAATCAAGTTAGACGAGTGTAACAACGGGAACTAGTTTTTGAATTTGTCGCATCATTTGGTATTCAAAGTTATGGAACTAAAATTGGGAACCCATATTGTTCCAAGAATACATGAAGCATATATGCTAATTAATAAACATGATTTTTACAAGTAATTATCCATAAGCAACAATTAAGCTTAGACGGGCTTGGCCCCAATGGCCCGAAGACATAACGGTTCGCCTAAATTCAAGCATTCAATTCAACCAATGATGGACTTGTAGCTTATTTAATTAAGTACTCGA